AGTCATGACGTAATCCAGAAGGATACATGAGCCAGTGTACCTTTCCACAATATCAAAGCCAACAGCTTTTTGTAGTTTACGCAAACAGACTGGACAAAGGAATAAGGGTTGATTTTCTGCTTGGAGCACTGACTTACTTTCATTCATAGCACATGCAAAATATGAAGTGAGCCATTCCAAACACATTTCATATTTCATGACTTGATACCTGAAGAAAAAAACAAAATTGATAACTATAGCAAAGAAGATGACAGCAGAGCTTAAAATATGTTCCATATGCTCTCTGAGACTGAATTCAAATTCCCCATTTCAAAATCTTTGTTTCCTATAGATCTGTGCCCCGAGTAACAATCCCAGACTAACTTGCACTGCAAACTCGACCCACTCCCCCCCTCATTTTTGAAATGGGGAATTTAGGTTATGCGAGGGGAGCAAAGAGTTTACAGGTAATGCAAAATCATGTAAGCCTAAAACCAATAGGTGATGTGTGAATTTTACAGGAAGGTAAGGTAAGATTTGAAGTTTTCCTTTCTGGATGTGATGCATGAAATACTGTTGACAGGACACCTGAATTTTTCTAAAAAAATTTGTGTGCAAAATGGGATCATAGTCACCCCCTTCCTCACCCTTAAACATGAAGTTTATGTAATGGCCATTAGTAAGTTTTTAATAAGCTTTAATACATTTGTTATGGTTTTTCACTAAAAATCTTTTGCCTACTGCATCGTGATTTACAGTGTAGCAAAAATCAGACAATCCTGAACATCAGAAATATTCATGGAGTTAAAGTTTGCACTTCAAGAATAAAGTGTGTGTGTGTGCCTTTTTCTCTTTTTTTATTATTTTTCTATTTCTTTCTTAATTTCTATTTTGTATATAAATGTAAGAAAATGCTGTAAAATTTATTAAATTAAAAACAAAAAGACAAAAAGAACAAAGCCTTCAGGCATAAGAAAACTAAACTACTAGTACTAGCAGCAATTTAACCCATTAATGGCCGCAGCTTTTGTGGAAAACTGTCTTTTGAAGCTAGTCCAGCAGATTTCGGGTCACTGTTGGGGTTTTAAAAGCTCGAACTTACCAAAAACCACTTGACAGCTCGTGCACTCGACGGCCTTTCGATCCAAATGCAAAATGGCGGCCTGAAAATCTCGGGCACGCGCAGAGAGCAAAATTTCGACATAGTTTTTGGGTTGAAAAGTCACGCCCCACTTACGACTTCTACTTTTCTCTCTTTCTCCTGCCCTTTTTTTCCCCTCTCCTTGCCTAAAGTTTCTCCTCACTTGCTGGAAATTGAGTAGGCTTCATTTTGGTGTAGAGATTTTTCAGAAACTACTCATTATTTTCAAAGCACATGCTCGGAAAGGTAGGTGGGTAGTGAAACACGATCTTCGTGCAGATTTTCCAGTCAAAGTGACACGGTTTTTTGGCTATTTCTCCAATCTCCTCCACTCAATTGCGCTCATTCTGGTATCGTCTGCAAGATATTTTCAACCCGTTCAAGTACATGCTCGAATTCGTGCTCCAGAGTTAAAATTGATGACGTCACAGGGCGTAGAAAGGGTGTGGGTCCCCATGGGCGCATACGGGCGCACTGGACGTTAATGGGTTAAACAAACTATAAATATGGTTA